TGGAGCTACCCAGCAATACAAAGGGCTGCCTTGTCAGGGAACCTGTCCCAGCAGGAATGCTGACAATGGTCACGACCATGGAAGACCACAGTTCTTCCTAAGGCCACAATTTTAAGATTATCTTCCTCTGAACAAATCCACATACAGTGCATCTACTCAGCTTTTTTTACTTAAAACAGTTCAAAAAATGAATGCTTAGTAACTACCAAAAAACAGAACACTATTAGAGGATCTTAATTCAATCAACATTGCCACCAACATTGGCTTAGAAGGAGTTACTATACTTTAGCCAGTGGTAGAAAGGACTGATACTATGGGTAAGAAATCAGGCAGGGGAGGATGGCCAGGAGCCATGTGCATATCATCTCTCCCTCCTTCTTTAAAATTACCAGGAATAAAGGTTTTCTGGGACAAAATCAAGGTAAAGAAAGAGAAATTATGTGGATCAAGACAGTAATTCCTGAAAGCAGGCCAGGTACTGCGATGTCAACATTTGTCCTGCACATTATATCATTGAGATTACTCACAAATAATTGCATGAGTGGGTCTCTTATGTATGAAGAGGTTAGTACATTACCCGCATGGCTTCTTGAATGTGGTCCTGTCGAATCAGTTCTGCTGAGCAGTCCATATACCACTTCAAACAGCGGATGAGCTCCCTGGGAAAGAGAACAGTTCCAGAAACCCCACTTTAATTCAAAAGTAATGCAGACTGAAATGTTTGTAGCCCTGAATTAGGCAAATAGGATATAATATTCTGCTGATAAGCTAGAAAGGAGTGGCAGATCCATTATAGCTTTGGAATATTCAGGTCATCTGAGAACAAACAACACCCTTTGTCCATAGGAGTTGCCACATTTTAAACAGCAATTAAAATAACTTTTCCCCACTATCTCTGACATATATTTCTTTTTGATTACAAGAAAGTTTCCACCCAAGTCTGGGCAACATGGTGAAACCTTATCTCTACAAAATAATACAAAAATTAGCCAGGCATGGTGGTGCACGCCTGTAGTCCCAGCTACTCAGGAGGCTGAATCAGGTGGATCAATTGAGCCCAGGAGGTAAAGGCTGCAGTGAGCCATGACTGTGCCACTGCACTCCAGCCTGGGCAACAGAACAAGATCTCATCTGAAAGAAAAAAAAAATAGTTTTCCTAAAGACCTGGACTGGATGTGTATATTTTTATTTTGTCTTAAATTGCCAGGTTTTCAGAACATCTGACACCAGCTAGTAAATAGTAGACTCTGAATAAAAGTATGTAGTCCCAGGAGTCCCTATTCACAACTCCTGCTCTATCCCATCTATCTTATTTCCTTAGGACTAAGTCATCTGAATGGAATGAGATTACTGGGTCAGAAGGTCTGCATATTTATATGGCAACAGAGCACAGAGGTCAGGAGTATAGGCCAGGGATATTCTGGAGCCTATCAATATCTAGTTTTGTATCATTGAATGAGTTATTTAATCCCCTGTGTCTCGTTCTCTTCAATGAAAATATGGGGAAATGGTACATCTCAAAGTTATTGTAAACACTAATAGAATGACGCATATAAAGCACATAGTACAGTCCACTCTCCAAAGTGACATTAAAGTATCAGAGTTCCAGTGACTCCATAGCCTTGCCACCATTGGGTTTTATTTATATTTTCAATAATTATGCTAATTTCGCATAAGAAAATGGTGATTTCTGGCTGGGTGTGGTGGTTCATGCCTGTAATCCCAGCACTCTGGGAGGCTGAGGTGGGTGGATCACAAGGTCAGGAGTTTGAGACCAATCTGGCCAACATAGTGAATCCCCATCTCTACTAAAAATACAAAAAATTATCTGGGTATGGTGGTGTGTTCCTGTAATCCCAGCTACTTGGGAAGCTGAGGCAGGAGAATCATGTGAACCCAGGAGGCAGAGGTTGCAGTGAGCCAAGAACAGGCCATTGCACTCCAGCCCAGGCGACAGTACAAGACTCTGTCTAAAAAAAAAAGAAAGAAAGAAAGAAAGAAAGATGAAAGAAAGAAAGAAAGAAAGAAAGAAAGAAAGAAAGAAAGAAAGAAAGAAAGAAAGAAAGAAAGAAAGAAGGAAAGAAAGATATAAGGAAAATGGTGATTTCTTATTGCTTTAATGGTCTTATTTATTTTTTTCTTTGAGACAGACACTTGCTCTGTCAACCAGACTGGAGTGCAGTGGCGCGATCTCAGCTCATTGTAACCTCTGCCTCCAGGGTCCAAGCAATTCTTGTGTCTCAGCCTCCCAAGCAGCTGGGATTACGGGAAGGGGAGGATGCACCACCATGCTTGGCTGATGTTTGTATTTTTAGTAGAGATGGGGTTTCACCACGTTAGCCAGGCTGGTCTCGAACTCCTGGCCTCAAGTGATCCACCTGCCTCAGACTCCCAAAGTGCTGGGATTACGGGTGTGAGCCACTATGTGTGGCTTGCTTTAATGGTCTTAGATAACCTGTGTTTCTCATATTTGTTTACTAGTTATATAAACTCCTTTATGAACTGTCTTTTTATATTCTTTGACATTTTTTTGTGGGTGCTATTTTAGCTATTCAAATGTTTCTCATGGAAAAAACAAGACATTTTTAGCAGCTTTACCATCATTTCCTAGAAGTAAAAGTATAGCAACTATGTAACAAACTATAGTTTGAAATATCAGCTGAAAGCCCACAGCTAACATCAAACATAATGGTAGAAGACTGAAAGCTTTTCATCTAAGATCAGAAACAAGATAAAAATGCTCGTTTTTGACATTTTTATTCAACATAGTACTGGAAGTCCTAGCCAGTAACATTAGGCAAGAAAAAGAAATAAAAGACATTCAAATTAAAAAGGAAGAATAAAATGCTCTGTTTTCAGATGATACAATCTTATATGTAGAACACCCTAAAGAATCCCCCCAAAAAACCTGTTAGAACTAATAAATAAATTCAGTAAAGTTGCAGGACACAAAATCAACACAAAAAATAAAATACATTTCTACATGCTAAAAATGAATAATCTGAAAATGAAATTAAGACAACAATTCCATTTACAAGAGCATCAAAAAGAATGAAATACTTAGGACGTATGTAAGGAGACAAAAGAGTTTTATACATGTTGCTTAAAGAAATAAAAGATAGCAATAAATGGAAATACATCTTATATTCATGAATTAGAAGGTTTAATATTGTTATTAAAGATGTAAATGCTACCCAAAGTGATCTACAGATTTAATGCAATCCCTAACACAATTCCAACGGTATTTTTTGAAGAAAAAAAAAAGTCCATCCTAATATGGAATTACAAGTGACCTGGAATAGCCAAAAGCATCTTGAAAAAGAGGAACAAAATTGCAGTCTCACACTTCCTGATTTCAAAACATCACAAAGCTACAGCAATCAAAACAACGTTGAATTAGCATAAAGACATATTTATAAAACAATGGAAAAAAATAGGCCAGAAATAAAGCCTCACATATATGGTCAAGGGGCCAAAGTACCACCCTTTTGACAAGGATGACAAGGCCATTCAGTGGGGAAAAGACAGCTTCGATAAATGGAACTGGGAAATTGGATATCCACATGCAAAAAGAATGAAGTCAGACACTTATCTTACACAATATACAAAAATTAACTCAAAATGGATCAAAGACCTAAATGTAAAGGCTAGAATTATAAAACACTTAAAAAAAAGACAGGTGAAAGCTTCATGACATTAGGCAATGATTTCTTGAAAATGACACCAAAAGCACAGGCAACAACAAAAAACAAGGTGGACTACATCAAAAATTTAAAAACTTCTGTGTCTCAAAGGACAAAATCAACAGAGTGAAAAGGTAACCAAGTGACTGGGAAAAATATTTATAAATCATATAACTGATAAGGGGTTAATACTCAGAATATATAAACAACTCCTATAACTCAACAATAAAACAAATAACCTCTTTTAAAAAAAATGGGTGAAGGACTTGAATAGACATTTCTCCAAGGAAGATAATTAGGGAAACACAAATAAAAAACATAAAGAAATATCACTTTACACCCATTAGGGTGGCTACTATCAAAAAAAACCCCAGAAACCAGCCTGGCCCTCAGTGGCTCTGGAGGAAAGGTGAGTGAACTATTAAGGAGCAATTTGCTCTTACCAATGGCCTCTGGAACCCTGACAGAAGGAGAACCCTCAACTACCACAGATACTTGAGTTGGCAGGGAGAGCTGCTTAGAGAAGTGGTAGGGGTAGCAAACCAGCTGATGTGGAGCCCAGGGGTGTTGGTGTGGGAGTGTCTGCAGTGGTGCACAGCCAGGGATGGTCATCCCCTTAGGCTTGACTTGCTCCCATGGGAGACTTCAGCCCTAGGGGAACTGTTGGTCTTGAACTCTACAGAGCGGTCTTGCTCATCAGATGGGGCTGGTCTATCCTGAGCACTCCTTGATCGGCTGGCCTCTCCTGGGGCCCAAGTCTGGCCATACCTGCTTGCAGGGCAGCCTCAGGTGACCTGTGGGCCTCACATCATAGTTTCTACACAGACCATGCTTGACGGTGGGGAGAGCTCCATTGCAGCGACCCTATGCCACGCACCAGCCCGCATGCCCCCTCCCCATACTGCAGGTTCCCCAGGACCCATGGCAACTCTCCACAATGCTTTACTGGCTTGTGTCTGCACTGGCAGGTTTTGCTTTCCTTTTTCCATTAAAAAGTGGGCTAGCATGTAGGAGTGCAGCCTGCCCCCTGCTCCCACCACCACTGCAGATAGAGCCTTGGTGGGCACAGAGCCAGCCAGCCCTGCCCCTGCCAGTGCCCCACCTTTGCCCTAACACTGTGCAGAGAATAGCAGATCCTCCCCTATCCTGAGTGACCACTTCTGCTTGCAGGACACAGAGAAAGCACCCAGACCTTCAGTGTCCCAACCCTGCGCCATCACCACCTCTACTGTGACTGTGCAAAAGTTGCCAGCAGGGGCCCCAGCTCTGCCCAGCTGTGCTGCCTCTGCCACCTTGGTCAACACATGCAGGGAGGCAGGTACCCCGGCACCAGCACCTGCTAGCACTCTGCCACAGGTGACTCTGCCACAGCTGCTGTACCCACTGCTGCTGGCACATGTGAAAGGGGATAGATCCAGCTGTCACTGCACTATGAAATACTTTGGCTTACACCACCCAGCCAAAGTGAAATGGCCAGCAGTCTGGGAGCATCTCAGCCTACCCAGTACAGTGGATTCCTAACCTTGAGGAGCCAGAGAACAAAGTTGGGGCCCAATACAAGTCTCCAAGTTGTGTTAGAGTGCACAGTCCAGGAGTTAGGGAGTTGAGCACTGACCCCTAAAATGTTCCAGAAATGAATCCAGCTGGCTGAATCCACCTTACACCACAATCAAACACTCAAGGTCATCAAATAGGATAAAAGGAAAAAAAACCCAAAACTCATCCAAAGGACAGCAACCTCAAAGATTGAAGAGTGACAAGCCCACAAAGACGAGAAAGAACCAGCACAAAGACCCTGGCAACTCAAAAAGCCTTCTTTCCTCCAAATGATTGCATCACCTCTCCAGCAAGGGTTCTGAACTGGGCTGAAAGGGCTGAAATGACAGAAATAGAATTCAGAATATGGATAGGAATGATGATCATTGAGCTACAGGAGTATGCTGAAAGTTAATCCAAGGAAGCTAAAAATCATGATA